GTCTCTCGGACCATTGCGGACAGAGCCACGGATAGGATCTCAGATGACTGCGGACAGTGCCACGGACACGATCACGGACAGCATATTCCATTGAAATTTCCTTTAACCATCCTGGACAGCTACAGCTACACGGACAATCATCGTGGACAGGTTTGCGGACTATGGCGGACAGATCCACGGATAGGATCGCGGACTGCGGACAGCTGCGGACAAGTCCACGGACGTTTCAATCCACGGACTGGAGCCACGGACAACTCGTGGACATACCAGTGGACGTGTCCTCAAATTGTCCTCATGTAGTCCGTAGCCGCTGTCCGCGTGAGCTGTCCGTCGGCTCATCAGGGACAGCGCGCGGCAAACAGCCTCCCCCTCCACCCGTCCCCCGCCTGTCTGAGGCATCGCCTCAGCCACGGACTGGGGGTCTAGGGGCCCGGTCGGAAAAGTGCCCCGAGGCGAGGGGCCCGAAATTGCCTACCTCCCAGGGGCAAACACCTTTTTTTTCGTTAAAATAGGAATACGACGTAGGTTTTCAAAAAAAGAACTCATATAAGACCTTTAAAATCCACTCTTTAATGGTTTAAATTTAAATGGAGATGTATTAAAAATGAACAGGTAACGTTACTCAATAAGATGCCTGCGCAGCTCTTCGGTTCCGCCAGCGCTAAAGAAATTATTTTCTGGTCTCCGCTTGATCCCCTTGCCGTTTCGAGAGTAAAAGCTAGCTGACACCTTAAATTTACTTATCTATTCTTTACGTTTAGTCAAAAGGTTTTTAAGGTATCATCTGCTAAAAATCTCTGTTAGCACAATGAAAAATTTTAACTTTTTGTATAAAATTTCAGCAGCCAAAAACACTTACGTAACCAAATTGAAAAATCTCTTTCATATCATAGACGGGGATTGCCTCTCTGGGGTTTGAGGTGGTCCCGATTCCTGTATCGAGGAGAAAGTTGTCCATCTTTTTGTCAAAAGTTTCCCTTGAGTCATGGGCGGCATCGTATAACATATCGTACAACCCTTTTCTGTCGTATGGTCCACGCATGTTGCTGCTAAACAAACCCTGTGCAAACGCCTTGAGCTTTTTCGCATCCACATCTTTGTGACCTTTAATATGCTTATATGTGGCATGAACTTTTCCATCATATGGGCACATGATGCTAACGTTCTGCACCAAGGCTGTGCGATTGGCAACACCGAACTGTAACAAGGAAGAATGAAAATGATATCAAGTCGCAAACTCCTTAAAAGTACAATGTTCTATTGATGTAGACGCATTAAAACATTCTACTTACACCGTAATTGACAGCCCGTGCAACTTTCTTCGCATGAGACGGCCCAACACCTTCATCATCAGAAAGTTTGAGGTCATTGTTTAGAAGGTCGACCTTTTTCCCTTTGGAAGCCGTTTCATCGCACCTTTCAAGCAACACAGTGCACGGTTTCGTTGGAGGTACAGCTTGTGCGGCCTATGAAACAATTAAATTTAAAATGATTCTGTCTGCTAACAGTGTGATAAAACGCATTCATAAATTCTACTTACACCAGAGCTCATTGTGTCGCCGGCAACGTCTTTGCAAGATGCCTGCGCATCACACCCCTCAAGTTCAACGGAGCATTCTTTCAATTGGGGCTCTGCAAACACGACCTATAGAAAGAAAAGATTGTTATAAATGATTTTGTGTGCTGATACTGGAGCAGTATTTCATATGGTAAGTTTGAAAATCAAGTCAAAACTTACTGCTTGTGCCTTTGATGAGCTGCCAGAGAAGGAGCAACCCTGCATAAGTATATCTCCAACAAATTGGTCAACTGCGGCCGCAGCTTCTACTCTCTTAACTGTTGGCACTTGCAGCCTTTGTGGAGCTGGACCTGTAATAAAAAATTGTTAGTGCCCCAACCCGGGCCAGTCCGTGGCTGCCCAGTCAGCAGCCGTGTGGGCGGGTTGCGGCGCGGTAGGCGCTCGGCGCGGCAGGCGCGCAGATGTCCAACACATGTTGAGACACGTTCAATATTATTATTTTCGACACCCGCCGGTAGGTGGCGCCTCGAGCGGCGGAACGCACGTATAAAAGGGCTCTCGCGCCCATCAGTCATTCCTTCGGTTCGTCTTCTGGTGTGCACATCATGGCTTGCCCTTCTTGCTTATTCTCTGTGCCCCGCCCTCGGTTTCATCCGATCGACTTCGCCGAGGGGGTTTTCACTTCTGAAATACCGTGTACACCAAATGAGGTATTTCACAGGTATTTCACGTGAAATACACCGAAATACGCCTAAATATGCTCCAAAACGGTGAACTTTTCCTGAGAAATACCGACGAAATACACGTATTACGAAATACTGTGTGCACGGAAATCTCGAGTGAAAACCCCCTCGGACTTCGCCGTGTCGTATGCTTTCTGCGACATTCAAATGCTGAGGTGATCAGATGATCAGTACATCATCAAGGATTTCAGAAAATATGACCCTTTCTTTGATGTAAGCCACACAGAAATATTTGCTTCACCCTACCCAGCCTCTCTTCTTACATCCGCCCAACTCAAACACAATGACTATGTCACCGAGAAAATTCACGGCATAGCGTGGGACCAGGGCAGAAACTCTAACAGTGAAGACTACATCCCAGGGTAAAAAAAACATGATTGTCATGGTCAAATTGAGATTTTGACCATGGAAAACCAAGATTTTAATCATGGACATTGCCTAGACCATGGTGATCACCTATGCCCATCTCCCCAGCCATAATACTCTGCACTCGGTTGACCATGGACAACGACTGAACCATGCGCAAGTGGGATGTCCACACCATGGTCTACCTTGGCGTGTTCTTTAGATAGTGTCGTTTAGACATGATTACAGAGCGCCATCTCTCGGGAGCTCGCGACACTAGCGACCAAAACGTCATTGAAAACACGGGCACCGGCGCCGGTCATCAACTTTGTGGTTACGTATGCAGCTGCGTCGGTGCGTCTAAGTGTTTTGAAGTTTTCGTTTTAATTTAAAGTTTTGATTTTGCCTACGACGAACGCCAGGTTGTCGTCAGAATGCCAATAGAACGCCATGGATTTTTTTAGAATGTAAGTGACTGTCGTTTTTAACGTTCCTCCTCTTTCCGGCAAAACGACGCCTAACTAACCTAAAAACAGATTCATAAATAAATCAGTATATACATCCTATAGATAGTTGAGGGCAGATTTTAGATGTAGAGAACAATCGTGGATCTGGTGTCGGCA